CAAGATTTAAAAATTATTATTTATATTAAAACATCATTTGAATCTAATTTAATAATTTTTATTCTATTTTCTTGATTAATATTTTAATTTATTATAAATCTTTGTAGCCTTGTAGTCAATTAGATTTTTTTTAAATACTACTTTATATATATATATATATATAAACTTTTCGTGTTTGACCCGTTAACTTATCGAACGAAATTAACAAGCCGAACACGAGTTGTTCGCGAACAACAAGCCGTTTTGACAGCCCTACCCCCATGAAATGAAACTGAATTTGCATGATTAGATAGATCCACTCTCATTAAACAAAAACTTAATAAAGAGGAAACTCACAAATACTGGACTAAAACAACTTAACGCAACCAATACGAATTTTTTGGAACATCTCAGCACAATCACTGCAGTTCAAGAATATCAAATTAAAATATAAATAAAAAAACAAAAATAGCACCTAGCCCTTAAACCAAACTTGTTTCTCAAATGAAATTGGAAAATATGGGCAAAGTTACCTGCTGGGTCGTGCCTTTGATAGGCTCCGTAGGAACTGTAACCACACCCTCCACATCCACAATCGACTCCCTGGTTAAGGAATTAGCGTACTTCACCATCTGCGTGCTTACCAACCCTTCGGTCACCGTAAGCACGCACTGCACCGTAGCGGTAAACTGCCTCACCACCAAAAAAGCCATTTTTTTCCCTACGGCGCGCAACGTCTGTGCAACTCCACGTATCAGAACCGTTCCGTCGGCGAGCTTCGAATCCAGCGAACCGACTTCAGTCCAATTCCGATCGGTAACGGCGTTCGACTGCAGCTCCTCCAACGGCACGTCGCCATAGTTTCCAGCCAACGAATCGGCCTCCGCCTCTTTGGAAGCCGCAGCAGCGGCCGCGGTCGCGGCTTCCTCTTGCTTCCGACGGAGTTTCTCCGCCTTCAAAGCCTCTTTCTTTGCCTGCTTCTTGCTGGCGGCAGACTCTGAAGGGCTCTCTCCGGCGGGATTTTCCATTGTTGGGAGACACAGGCGATGAGAGATATGGCAGCGGTAACACCGCAACCTAGGATTTAGGTTAAAACCACGACAGAAAGTGAGATCGGACAAAATAAAGGCGCGGATTTGATAAATCCGGGTTTCACGCATTTTGGCCGTCAATCCGTAAATCCCGGATTTACCAGGGGCAAACTTATAAGTAAGTCGGCTTTTTTTTTAATTCCCTACTGTTAGTTTTTGCCTATTTTACCTGATTATATAGAAACAGCGTTTTTTATTTGGAGAATAATGGATCGCAGGTTATACCCCGCGATCAGCGTTTCGAACGCCGGTTGGGGATAAATTTTACGCGCCTGCCCCCTCACGACCACGCTTCCCGCATCGTTACCTAAATATCTCTTCCGCCGAAAGAAGCCTCCGCACACGCGAGAATCGGACCTCCGAACTCCTCTTCCGCAGAAGGAAGCCTCCGCACGCTCGATTCGCCCCGATAGCCGAGAGCCGCTCCTACCTCCTCCGCCAAAGGAAGCCTGCTCCGCCGAAGGAAGCCGCTCCTACCTTCCTCCTCTGAGATTCTTCTCTTCTTCCCTCTTTTATTCTTTTTCTGAGATTCTCATCCCCCCCATCTTAGTTTGCCCTAGCTCGCGACTCCATAGCCTCTCCTTGCTTCCGTTCGGCATCCTGCTCTTCCTCGGCAAGCTGCTTCTTCGACATTTCCTGCCAAAAAACTCTTTTATAATTTCTTATGCAAGCTGAAGGTGCTCTGAGTTAAAAAAAAATGTCTATTTTCTTCAAGAACAATAATGATTTACCTTTTTTCTTGAAGATGGTTCAATTTCTTTTCTTTCAGGTTCAATTTCTTCTAAACAGTAATGAACTAAAAAAAAATGTCCATTTTCTTGAAGATGGTTCGATTTCACTTAAACTTCTCTATTTCTTCAAGTGACCAAAGGGAGTGTTATCGCGGATAAATGTCTGTCTTTTATTTGAACCTGTTATCTTTCTTGGTTCCCTTTTTTCCTTGCTATGAATGATCTGTATTCTAATGTCGTATGATAATGGATATACAATCGTGATGATAAGTATGAATACATCAGTAATCCTTCATTATTGAAAAAAAAAACTCATTAGTTTATGGATTTATTAAGGAGTTATTGTGGTAATTGCTTGTTCGTGTTTTTTTTAAAACATACCACTCAATTCTCATGTATTTACATATCTGACACCTAAACTGCGTGAAAAGTTGTACTTACTTCTTTAAAAGTTAAAATAGTTGCATCAATATGAAAAGTAAAGTTTAGGTGTTAGATATGTAAATACATAGGAATTGAGTGGTATGTATGTAAATGCATATAAATTAGCTGAAAATTGGACTCTCTAACAGCTTCCTCCACACTTTGGTAAGTACATTTTATTTATTTACTCAATTTTTTTACTGATATATTCTTTTATTTTAAAATTAGAGTAAAATGTAAATTATTGATTACAATTTACGTTATAGATAATTTAAAATTTATTTTGAAAAATTTATGTAATAAAACAGCTGAATAAAAACTCATTAGTTTATGGATTTATTAAGGAGTTATTATGGTAATTGCTTGTTCGTGTTTTTTTTAATACATACCACTCAATTCTCATGTATTTACATATTTGACACCTAAACTGCGTGACAAGGTGTGCTTCCTTCTTTAAAAGTTAAAATGGTTGCATCAATATAAAAAGTAAAGTTTAGGTGTTAGATATGTAAATACATAGGAATTGAGTGGTATGTATGTAAATGCATATAAATTAGCTGAAAATTGGACTCTCTAACAGCCACACTTTGGTAAGTACATTTTATTTATTTACTCAAATTTTTTACTGATATATTCTTTTATTTTAAAATTAGAGTAAAATGTAAATTATTGATTACAATTTACGTTATAGATAATTTAAAATTTATTTTGAAAAATTTATGTACTAAAAGTTACAGATAAGTTGTTTTCCAAACGTACATACAAAACAGCTGAATAGGCTAAACATATTATCCAGAACAAGGGCAGTGTGGTCATTTATCCAGAATCAGATGTTTTCCAAACGCACAAACCAAACAGCCGGACAGTTTATTCGGATCAGCTGCTCATCAGCAGATTATCATGATAAGCTGCTTATCAGCAGAAATTTGATAAGTTGCAGCTGCCCCAAACAGACCCTAAAAACAGCGGAAACGGGCGCACAGACTTACCTAATGCGGTCTGTGTACGGCACAATCCAGTCGTTGCCTTCAGAGCTCCAAGTTGGATCAAATGGCTGGTTGGCGATTAGGGCTGTTAAAATCCGATACAAGCGAGTGAGACCTTATTTTATGTTTAAAAATATTACTATTCTTTTTTGTCCCATTTATATTTTGAATATAAAAAATTTGTTCATCACAAACAAAAAAATCATTCTCATGATTATAATCATGCATAAAACCATTAGGGGTGAAAAAGAGCCGAGCTTGAGTGAATTCAGACTCGACTTGTTAAAAAATATCATTGTTCATGTTCGACTCGTTTATATATATTGAGCTCAAAAAATTTATTTGTATTTGACTCGCTTTCCTCGCAAAAAATGAACTATTTTGAAAACCCTATTCACACAGCCGTTGGATGTTAAGGATAGGTTGTCATATACATATATATAATTCATTAGTATTATTTATACATATAGTTTATTTATTTATTGTAATTTATTTATTATTATTATTATAATCATTATTATTTTATATATGTATATATATTTATTTATTTTATTTTATTTTATTTTTTTTTGTCGTGCTAATACGAGTCGAACATGAACCAACAAAACTTTGTTTGTGTTCTGCTCGTTTATATATTTAGCACAAAAAAGTTTTTCATGTTCAACTCGTTTGTTTAGCGAATGAATCGAATAAGAACTACTTAACGAGTCGAACATGAGCTGTCTGCGAACAATGAGTTGTTTTGACTGTCCTAATGGCGACTATACCGCAAGGGTTTGTTCACGAAAGCAAGGGTTTTGCATGAAACTGGAAGATGAGGATGGACATAGATGAGGTTTTAGGGTAGTTAATTGGAGTTTGGACTCTCATCAAATATTGTGAGGTGTTGCCATATGGAAGTCACGGTCTCACTAAATAAATAATTAAAAAGTTTTTTATTTTAATGAATAACCTGGTCGGAACCAGCCCATTTCTTCAAAAAGAAAATGCTTCACGTCAAATCATAATACTCGACCCATCACGTCAAATCATAACACTCGACCCATCACTTCAAAAAGAAAACTATTGTGTTGTTCTTCAATATTTTTTTTCTTTTATCGCCATCGGTTAGGGTTTCATATTGTCGTTTTCTTTTGAGACTCTGGTGGCTAGAGATTTGTTCGTTTGAAATCCTTTGCACTGTCGTTCGCCATTTGAGATACATTCAAAGCCCCTCTCTCGCACCATGTAAGTCTTGTGATATTTAAGTTTTTTTTTTGAAGACCATGTAAGTCTTGTGATATTTAAGTTTTTTTTTTTTTGAAACAAGCATTGTACTGGATTTAGGGTTTAGGGTGTGAACTCATGTACAGTTGTTTGTGCTTTCAAGCAAGTTAATATACAAGAATGGAGAACATAAGGAAACCAAAAAGCGAAAGAATCGACAGAAGGCATCCAGGTAATTTTGTTTGTGTGGTTCTACTTGCATCATAGAGTATTTACCTGCATTGCGCAATGACATTGTTGTAACACTGCATTTGTTTGAAAATAACATAGTATTATTACACTAATAACACCACAATACAACCACAATAACATCACAACACGACGACACGAATAACACCACTACACAACAATATTTGTATGATAATAATATTATATTAATGCACTAATCACACCACAATAACACATAAATAACACCACAATTACACAAAAATAATATCGCACTAAGACCACAATTATGCCTTAATAACACATCAATAAAACCTGAATAATACCACAATAAAACCTCAATAACACATGAATAACGCCAAAATAATAATGTAATAATTAACGCCATGATAACACCAGTTGAGTAACATCGCAGACCGTCACAATACCACTCAAATAACAACACAATAACACCTCACTAAAATCTCAATAACACCACAAAAATATCACAATTACATCTCAATAACCCCACAAAATTACTGCAATAACATCATAATAGTACTGCAATAATACATTAATAACGTTTGAATAACATTATAATAATACCGAAATAACACAATAATAAGACTCCAATAACAACAATTGAATACCGCCACTGAGCTGCCACAATACCTCTAAAATAATGTCATAATAAAACATCAATAACATTTAAATAACACCACAATAATACCACAATAACACAGTTATAACAGCAGTCGAACACCACCACATAATCGCCAAAATATTACTCAAATAACATTTCAATAACACCACAAAAATATTGTAGTAATATCATAATTATACCACAATAACACATTAGTGACACTACAAAAATATCGCAATAATATTACAATAATACCGCAATAACACTTAAAAAACACCTGAATAACACCACAAAAATATTGCAATAACAACATAATAGAACTCTAATAACACCAGTCAAATACCACAACAGAGCCGCCAAAATACAACTAAAATAACATCATAATAAAATCTCAATAACACATAAATAACACCACAATAATGTCTTAATAACATCATAATAACACTGAAATAACATCAGTTGAATAACACCATCGAATCGCCATAACACCACTCAAATAACACCACAATAAAACCACAAAAATACCATAATAACATTATAATAATGCACCTCAATAACACCACAAAAATACTTTAACAACACAAAAAATATCGCAATAACACCTCAATAACACCTGAATAACATCACAATAATATCACAATAATATCATAATAGAACTCAAATAACATCAACTGAATACCATCATCGAACCACAACAATATCACTAATATAATAGCACAATAAAACCTCAATAACACCGTAATAACACCACAATAATATCACAATAATACCATGATAACATCGTAATAACATTGATCGAAATGACACCACAAAAATGCCACAATAC